GAGTCCTGTCACCAGTGTTATATTCCGTAGTAGCACGTTAGAGCATCCATAATAAACTCCCTAAACTACCTCATTAGATAAAATTTAGGAAGGAAGTGAGAAAACCAACTTTCAACCATGCTCCTTATTCAACTCCTAAAATAAGGAGACCTCTAAGAGCTTCTAAATATGAGGAAAGAGAAAGGACTCCTAGTGGCTTCCTATAATTAAATGATGATTTACTTTAATGCTATTTTAAGTATTTATTTAATGTTAACTATTTTTTATTATTATTTGATATGAAGAGAGATCATTTAAGTTAAATTAAAAAAAGAAATAACTCATTTATGATTCCCTAAACTAGAGAGGATGGTTGGAAATGAAATTTTATAAGGAGCTCCTAAAATAGCTTTCTAGTGTCTTTAGCTAAATTTTAACTAAAAAGTAAGGAGCATAATTGTGGATGCTCTTAGTACTTGGATATGTAAACATGTTGGGTGGGTGAGTACTTAAAACATGTTTCAATTAGTGTATCGTGATTTGTTGCTTGATCTGACTATACAAATGGTTTTTATAGAGGATCCTCAAATAGTTATGCATTTAAACGCTTTGGTTTCATTCATTTTCATTCTGAAAAAGAAAAAGAGATATTTAGTCATATACCCATTCTTAGCACTAATGATATAGATAAACCCTACGTCATTTAATTTCTATAAACAAACAACAACAAAAACCCAAAAAATGACAGTTGACCCTAATTAATTTAATTTTGATTACTAAATTACTTTGATGCCCTATTGAGTGTTTTGGGTTTTTTTTTATGAGGTTTTGGGGTTGGGCTTGTTTTAAGAAATCGATGGCAGTTTTGTAATTTATAAGAAGTTAAAAGTCTTTTTGTTATGTTGTAAATAAACTTTGGGTGTGTTAAAGTCCATTTCATATAGATTTTTTTAAATAATTTGGGCCCCTATATTAAGTATAATAGTGAATCTCCCCAAGAAAAACTCTATGTGCTGATAATATTAAATTTTACACATATATGAGGAGCAGTTAGTGGGCCACGTCAAAACATGTTATCCTACACCCTTATAATTCCCTCTCTTCGGTTCTTATAAAAAAATGCTAGTCATATCACATTTATATACTACTTTGTGTTCCACATCTATTAGTGGGCCTCATTGTATTGGTGGACTCCACCCTTATTATTGAAGTAGTACACAAAGTAGTATGCAAATATAGTATGCCTAGCATTGCTATGTTCTTATTGATGTGTCTGATAGGTTGTGATGATAAATAGGTATTCATCAGTTTAATTTTTTGTTGACAATACGCTATTTTAAGCTACTCTAACCTTTGGAGAGGAACACAAACTTAGGTATAAGGAGGCATGTACATTGCCTAGTCAATTGAACTAACCCACATATATTAAATGCTTAGTATAGGTTTATTTTAATAAATAAACCACGTGATATTTGATCACAATGTTAAGTTTTAACCTCAATGTTGGTCTTCAAAACAATCAAAACTGGCCTTATTCAATCTAGAAATTTTTAAAGAAAATAAAAAAAGACCCTTTAAAAGTTGTGTGCAGAACCAAACCGACCAAAAGTTCAGTATACCTCCAGAACAGCTGTGTCCAAAAGTATCGGTTAACAAAAGATTTTGACCTACTGAAAGTCTGGTATGATGATCGATTGAACTCTCTGCCGATCTATGTCAAGACCTATTCTATGGAGCCATTTTAAGGAGAAATTTTTGTTACACACACAATCATGTAATATGTCTTGCAATCCCATTCATTTCAATATTTACTAGCAAAAATCATAATGCCACTTTTCGGATATATCATACCTGAGCCACCCCTTTCAGTAATTGGGTCATCTTCGACGTTTTCAACATTTATGCGAATATCATAAACTGCTGAATCAGGTCGTACGTGTTTCCCTATCAAGTTATCAACACAAGAACAAATGCCTTATCAATGTTTCCTTTTGATGTAAGAGCTTTCCCCTATATAGTGATTTTTGTGTCGTGAACATGGAAGTTCATGTGCATATACAACAATAATGAATGAGTGATGGTATAAGAACACATTATTTTTACCATACCTCTTTAATACACAACAATAATAAATTTGTGATGTTAAGAGAACATATTATTTTACCATATTGTATACTATCTCTTGAATAGAAATATGATGTACCAATACAAGGAGAGGTTTCATTTTTATTAGAGACGTGCCACACATCATGGTACAATAATTTGGTCTTCTTAGCATTTCATATAAAAATTTAAGTAATTAATTTGTAGTTCAATAGTTAACAGCATTTATTTTTTTCCAAATAGAAGGTGGAATCTTTTCTTTATCACCGGAGAGAAAATGAAAATTCAGACTTGATAATTACTAGGCTTTGGGTTGTGTTTCAGCTGGGCTTTTTGCTGCAATCACTAGGGCAGAAGCCCAACCATCACCAGTTGTGGGCTCTGATCCAAAACGTGGATACCAGCCATAACGAACTGGTGGCATTCTTGGAGAGTTCGTGGGTGTTGGCTCTGTGTCCGTCGGAAAGAGTCTGGTGTGGGGGTAAGTGCCCTGGGTAGGTTGGCTCAGGCGGTGGTTTGGCTGCTATAGTGCATGAGTTATTGATCAGGGAGGAGATAGAGAGATAGAGATCGATTGGGCTTGGTGGATGCCAGGGAGATCAAAACCGAGGGGGATGTGTTGCTGGGGTTGGGTGGGAAAATCAATTTGGGTGGCTTGGCGTGGGTGGGAAAATCAATTTGGTGACTTGGGTGGAAAGTGTGGGTTGCTGATATTGGGAAAAGTTCAGAGGAGGTGTTGATTTTAATTTTCTGTTTTTACTTTCGTATTTTAATTAGACCAAAAAAATAAATTATTATATGAAGTCCAAAAAAAAAATATGGGGCATAACTTTAAATAAAGAGTAGAGAGAATGTAGTACTAACAGTCATAGATCCATTGTTGCCAAAATTTGAGATGCGTTCCACTTAAAAATCCAGATCGTGTACTGGCACACACTTGTAAAGGGGTCAACCCAGAGTAGCTTTTAGCAAGGGCTAAGTTTGGGCAATGCCGAATTAAATCCAATGCAATATCTACAGTAGGGTAGAGGAGGAGTGACAAGAAAAATGAATGAATCTTATTATATGGAAAAAGGTTAAATTGGAAACACGTACCGAAAATTTTGGCCCTAAAACTCTCCGAAACAATCTCAGCGCCACCGCGGCCGTTGTCTTGCAACAGAGCTTCGAGTGGAGTAACAGAATAGAGGTAGCGAGCCAATTCCCAATGGCCGATAGAATAAGCCAGGAGAAGTGGAATTTTGTTGTCTGGAGGAGATGGAAGGATAAGCAGTTTCTTGTTTTTTTCAATCATGCACTTAGCTAATTGTGTGATTCCTTTCATCGCAGCGTAGGCCATAGCTGTTAAACCATCAACGTCCTGTATTTCCAAGTCTTCCCCCGTCATCAACTCCACTAACGCTTTCACCACATTTACATGTTCAAGCGCAACTGCCAGGTGAAGAGCTGTCATACGTGGTACTAAATATCTTTCTCTGATTGCTTCGGGATTTCGACTAAGATACTCCTTCGCTAAATCCCAATCACCCTTTGCCACATTAAGAATGAAGTCGCTGGTGTTACTCTCATTTCCTGCCAAGTTTTTATTGTTTTAATAAATTACAATTTGCTAAGAATTTCAGCGTCCAACTCACTCAAACAAAATTCTTGAAAATTCTTGTCAGTCGGTGGATAAGTTAAAGATTAGATATTGAAGGGAAACAGAATAAGAAAAAAAAAATTAAGAAAAAAAAAAAAGTGTTTACGAGAGATCGCATACCGTCATTCGACGTCGGATTCATATTCAAGTCTTCCCGTGGCACCAAGGGAAACAACTCCTCTGCATCGCACACATGATAAGAAAATATCAATTAATTAAGTCAAAATGAGTAATTCTATAGACACTCAATTGGCATCTAGGTCCCATCTCTAAACCTTTTAAGGTGGTAATGGATTTGGTCCATTTGCTTTTAATATATTCGTTCGAGTCCATTGAGTTTTTAATTAAGGTCCATATGCTTTTATTTCCATTTTCGCCCATCGAGGTATAAATTGATGAAGGAAATACAACCATAATTTTATCCTGGGTTTTGATCGAAATGGTCTCTAAACTTAAGCATGAGTTCTATTTTAGTCAACTAAATTTTTCACACCATTGGTCCTTCCTATTTAGTGTCAAATTCGTCCCACCAATCAAGTTTTATCAAATTTGACATCAAATTGAGGGGTAAAACCATCAGTTTGGGCACTAATCTACTAAATTTACCAACCTAACTTTGTAACAAACATTTCCCTCCATAAGCCATCACTCTCTCCCCCAAATTGAAACTCTATCCCATAAGAGAAACGTCTTATGGAGGGAAATGTTCGTTACAAAGATGGAATGGTTGTTTTAGAGGAGATTAGAGCACAAATTGATAATTTTACCCCTTAATTTGACCACAATTTTGATGGAGGGACTAATTTAACACAAAAGAGAGAGTTGGAGGACCAATGGATTGAAAAATTTAGTTAGAGGATCAAAATGGAACTCGAGCATAAATTCAGGGACTATTTCAATTTTTTTTTTTAAAAACCCATTTTATATATTTGCGAGAAATTTAAGCCACATATGTCCTACACTTAATGAAAAAATTTGTTAGCAATCATACACATACAAGTAAACACTTCAAAATTCAATTACAAATGCGTAAAGCACCCACAATATGAATATTCTACCTATTGTGAAGGGAGAAAATTGCAATATAGTTTTACTCAGCCTTTTGCACAGTCAAATAATGTTTACTACTGCAGCTGTACCATCATAAAAATAAAAAAATGAAAATACAGTAACCTAGATCGAACCATACAAATATACAGATGCCGCGCTTCGTGATGTGCCCACCATTCTGTCAGAGTCATTTAGGTGTAAAACATGCATGCTTGTTTTGACTACATACCTTGAGCTGGGTTTAGCTTTTCGGCCAAAGTATCCCAGGCAGCTTTGGCGGTCTTTGTGCTACTGATTAAAGAGTAATTAGCAGACCCGCAATAATTCTGGATTAGAATTAAAGCCTTGGCATCTTTCTTCCTCCAAGCCTTAAACTCAGCTTCACCATCTTCTGGTTTAGGAGGTTCAGTGGTGGCTTCCACAACCTCCCTAAGATCTTCAGCTAACAAGTAGAGTTTAATTCGGAAACTCCAATCTTCATAGTTATACTGGTTAAGAACTGGGGGATTAGGGATTGTACTAGTGACAGTTGTAGCTGTCATGTTCAATCTGCCAATTGACCCATGGTGGTATTATGTCAATCGAGAGCATAAATGTTAGAACAAACAAAAAAAAGAAAATTAAACGAACACACTTACAGATTGAGTTGTAAAAAGGCCGAGGTAGAAGCTAGCTTGTAAATTCCCACTATGTGCACATAGATATAGGCAAACTCACTTCTGACTTATAGATAACAAATCAGCGAAAGACCAAAAAGAAGCTAACAAATCACCAATTAAAAAAGACTTTGGCAAAAGACTTGGCAAAATTTGTTTCCAAAATGATATCTTGGGCGGTTGAAAATTTGGGGCAATCAATATCTTGGGCAAAATTCCAGTCCGAATATTGCGGTAATTTTGTGGAGCCCAACATACCGATAATCAAGGCCACGTGAAGGAAATGCATAACGGGCCCAGTGTTTTTTTTTTTTGGTCGAAAAGCTTTCATTCAAAGCGAAAGAAAGACAACAAAGGGGAGAAAAACAGACAAACCAAAGACATAAAGAAAGGGAACAAACAGCAAACAACAACGACTAGAACACAACAACTAGAATAACAGAGGCCAGAGACCAGTAGCTATGACGCCTCCAGAAGGGGAGCCCGTCCGCCTCCAGCACAGACTCCCTAGCACTGCGGGGGGCAAGGAAGTCCGTCAGCTTGCAACACATAAACCAAAAAGGCAATCATCATACTCGTGATAGAGAAAAAAAGGGTGGAAAGGCCTAATATCGTTTTTGTGGGCAAGGATTTGAGGAAATCTTTTTCTGCATAACGTGAGGTTAGGATTCCCAGAAATATCATGACTGAAGTTGTGGAAGAAAAGAGTGATACAGAATCTGAAATTATAAAAACTGTAAACAATGGTTTTCTCAAGAACATTGGAAAACCTGTATCTCCTCGGATTCCTCCAGGAACTGTAAATGCTGCAGCAAACATCATTGTAACAATGAGAGCACTGGCAACTGTACACAAAGTTGCTGTGTCTTTCATTGATCTTTCTCCCTCCTTCACCAATTCTTTGTGGTTCTTGCTAAATAGTTCTTGTGCTGTCAGACCATTGGTAGAATTGGTAAGTTCAAGAACGTTGGGAGGTACAATACTCTCCACCTCCTGCGTTTCATTAAACAAAAATTTAGAGATATGACCGACAAACTCTTTATCTCATCCTACGAATCCTTGAGCAGTTCCTATTGGTACTTGTAATTAAATACATATCTTATGATTTCCTTTTGTGTTCTATTTTCCCCCATGTTGTTACTATGCAAGGTCGACATATATATTCGTGGTTGTTGAAGTGCATATTTGAATAATTGATTGTATGGGTCTAAATACAACATATATATAAGCTTGAGGGATTCCTCAAATAAATTTATTTGAAGGACACCCTTATTCTTTCCAATTTTGCTAATTTTTTGCATGGATATCTTTCAATGTATACTTAAAAACGAACGGTTCCAATTATTGAAATAAAATATGTATCGAACCATACAAAGTGTCTCTCTATAAAATTACATATATACACACACACTTAGTGAGAAATTCTGACCTTGAACCATTGTAGCTCTCTTTGCATTTGCAAAGTTGCACCTTGAATTTTACCATTGTAGCTCTCCTCTTTACCCTGCTGCATGGGTAAAGAGGAGAGCTAAAGTGCAGCACAAACACTAGGTTATTTTGAAGGAAGTTGAGGTTTCACCCCAAAACCAATTGGCAATGGGGGGAGTAGCCCAATTCCTTATAAGCCCTTGCTAGGTTTCTCAGTTTCTCAACTTTCCAATGTGGGACTCTTTACCTTCACATTTTCACACGCCCCCGCATGTGTGGCAAATTTTCAAGCCTAACACGTGGACAACACATTTGGGTGACGTGGAGCACGTGTGGCCTTTGGGCTTTCACACGTGGGCAACCTGCTCTGATACCATGAAAGCTTTCTTCATGGAAGCCATGGATGAACTTGATCAAGCTTCTCAGACTAGAAATATTGAGAGAGAAAGAGAGTAATTGTAACAGAACAAGAGAGAAAGTAAAGTTCTCAATCTGATTTTTGTGAGAATGTGAAGGTAAAGAGTCCCACATTGGAAAGTTGAGAAACCTAGCAAGGGCTTATAAGGAGTTAGGCTACTCCCCCAATTGCCAATTGGTTTTGGGGTGGAACCTCAACTTCCTTCATGGTATCAGAGCATTACCTCTGCATATCGTAATTGATTTCTCTATTCCGCTGCTCACTTTTTAGCTCGTATCTCTCTAGCTTGTCTTCGTGAGGTTTTGCTTTCTTTCCAATTTCTTCGTATCTTTGTCATTTTTCTTCATCTCCATTTTCGATTCTTGTTTGTTCGAATTGGTCTGGCTATACACTCTCTTGCTTCGTTTCTCTCTGAACACAATCTAAATTTCAGAATTTCTGCACTGGTTGATTGTGTGCCTAAACCCTAGCTTCTAGTGAAAATGGGGAAAAGCTTTATTACACCGATTGATTTGCTTCATAATGCCTCCAATTATATTACTTTGAAATTGGATGATACGAATTACATGCAATGGAGCTATCAGGTTGCGAAATTTCTCGAAGTTTATCGACTTTCTGATTTTCTTGATGGCACGGTTACGATGCCTATTGATCCTGATGGAGATGATTATCTAGACTGGGAAGCAATGGATACTGCTATTTTGAACTTAATTGCTGCAAGTTACCTGTGGAATACAATCCCTTCAAATCTCATATCCGTGCTCGACCAGTTCGAGTTACTCTTCCAAAGCTGCGTGATTTACTGCTCGATTTCCTTTTGTGTTCTATTTTCCCCCATGTTGGTACTATGCAAGGTCGACATATATATTCGTGGTTGTTGAAGTGCATATTTGAATAATTGATTGTACGGGTCTAAATAAAACATATATATATATAAGCTTGAGGGATTCCTCAAATAAATTTATTTGAAGGACACCCTTATGCTTTCCAATTTTGCTAATTTTTTGCATGGATATCTTTGAATGTAAACTTAAAAACGAACGGTTCCAATTATTGAAATAAAATATGCATCGAACCCTACAAAGTCTCTCTATAAAATTATATATATACACACACTTGGTGAGAAATTCTTACCTTGAACCATTGTAGCTCTCTTTGCATTTGCAAAGCTGCACCTTGAATTTTATCAAGGTGCAGATACAAATTCCCTGCTGCATGTAGAATACCGTTGTTAAACTTATCTGTAGAATTTATAGTAGCATTTCTTTCATTTTTGTCAAGCGTGTATATGAGGTTGTAGACTTTTTCTTGACGAGATCCGATGGCATACTGGAATATGTTCCTTCCTCTTCCATCAGTGATCCGTAGGATATCTGGATGTGCTTTGCGTAAAAGATCGATAAACTCAACATGCCCTCGTTCTACAGCTCGGAAGATTGCTTCATGCAATAATGCAACTTGCAAATGGTGAAGGTGTTTCTTTTTTATCTCTTTACACATGCACTCTAGAAATTCATAGGTTCGGAAATGAACCAGTTTCAATTCATATATCCATTTGAAACCTATATATAGGTTAACATTGCAATCAGTATGATTTAACAATGTGTTGAAGGAAGTTGAGGTTCCACCCCAAAACCAATTGGCAATGGGGGGAGTAACCCAACTCCTTATAAGCCTTGCTAGGTTTCTCAACTTTCCAATATGGAACTTTTTACCTTCACATTCTTACACACCCTTGCACATGTGGCGAATTTTCAAGCCTAGCACGTGGACAACACATATTGGGTGACGTGGAGCACGTGTGGCCGTTGGGCTTTCACACATGGGCAACCCGCTCTGATACCATGAAAGCTTTCTTCATGGAAGCCATGGATGAACCTGATCAAGCTTCTCAAACTAGAAGTATAGAGAGAGAGAGAGAGAGAGAGAGAGAGAGAGAGAGAGAGAGTAAGCGAAACAGAACAAGAGAGAGTAAAGTTCTCAAACTGATTTTCTCATTCACACATTTACAGAGTTTACAATTAGACTTATATATCTCTTCTAGCTAACTAACTAGTGAATTAAGTTAAAAACAGATTAACAACAATAACAACCAGCCAGCTCATTCCTAACTAACAGACACGTGACCATCCTCACAGACACGTGCATCATGAGTTACATTCATTCTGGTGGTTTGGGTTGTAGACTAACATTGTTGTGGCTGCTACTGATTCTAATAATGGTGATTCTGAGGAATGGGAAGCTATGGATACAACAATCTTGAACCTCATTGCTGCTAGTCTTTCTGATGATGCTTTCTCTGAGATGATCAATTGTCAATCTGCTACAGAAGCGTGGACCACATTGCACGGATCGATACACTTCGATCTCTGAACGAGGGAGAGAGAATCAGAGTTAGAACCACTGTGTGATTAGCCAGATTGGTGTGTTTAATTATGAGTGTTTGTGTAAATCATGTCCGAAGACTCCAAACACTGCTGGATTCGCGTTCAATAATAGAATATCGAAAAAATAATAATAATACAGAGCGCTTGTGTAACTAACTCGAAAATAGAAATTGAAGTTGGATTGTATTGGATTCTACTGTAGGATCCGACAAGTACATCACATACATTGTCTTTTCTTTACAAGCTTCTTGAAAAAAGTAACAACATCGAACATAAACATAAGATAGCATAGGAATCTAAGGCCAAGGTTCGACATTCCTGTAAAAGGGTGAAAAGGCCTAATATCATTTTTCTGGGCAATGATTTGAGGAAATCATCTTCAACATAACGTGATGTGAGAATTCCCAGAAATGTCATTACAAGAAGTTGCTGTTTCTTTCATTGACTTTGCGCCCTCTTTCACCAATTCCTTGTGCTTCGTGGTAAATAGGGCCCTTGGTGTCATACGATCTGTCAGATTTTTAGTTTCACGATGTACAGGATCTACAATACTCTCCAACTCCTGCAGTTCATCCCGCAAAAACTTAGAATTCTTACAAATCATTGAACATTTGAGCTTTGAGATTCTGGTAACAAAACTCATCTGAGCTACATAGGATGCTAGTGACAGTAATTAAATAAAACCACTTATGATCGATTTCTTCTTGGTTTTCCCATTTTGCCAAAACAATGGCACAAAAAAGAGAGGGTATTATTGTTTAAAGTTTTAAAATAGTGTTGAAAAGGTTATAAGCACTTCTTGGACCCATCATACAATATTGTAGAAAATAAGCGAAATAGTACTCAACTAATATATGAACACAATGTTTTGTATAAAAACATTAAAATGATTTTGATTATATTAGAAGGATTAAACGCTTTCCTATTTGAACAATTTTTTGCAAGTATAATGTGTAAGTGTTTGCATTTTGTGTTTTTCTTTTGGCTTCCCTTGACAATATTGTAGTAGGACAATTATTGTAATTTCCCAAGCTCTAGTTTAGATTAAGAATTACTTATCTAGGTGTTCTTATCTGACTATGATAAGCCTATATTTTATATATATTTTATGCCTCATTTACTTATTTATTTGTTAATTTCTTTGGGTTAAATTGGTTGTTTAATTGGTTTTGTGAGATTTGTGAAGGAATTGTGGAAATAGGAGAAAGTGTGCTAAAAAGGGCAAGAAGATGAAGATTGGAGATTAATCAAGTCAAACAAGGAGAAATAAAGAAGACCTTATTTTAGAAGGAATCCTACTTTTATAACAATTGTAATTATATCTTAGATAGGATTTCTAGGAGTCTTATAAATAGGAAGTTTAGGTCATTGTTCAAAGGACCACCCATCACCCATCATCCTCCATCCTCCATCATCCATCATCCTACATATTCATACTCATAGCCGAAATATCCAAAGGAGAATACGAAGAAAGCTTGCGCAACCTTGGCATTCTACTTGGAGAATTCGGTGTCTTCCATGCCTTCATCAACCATCATGATTCTCAATAAGTCCTTCATGAACTAATTTCTTTTATTAGGGCTACGATGTAGCCTAGATATGAATACTCAAATTCTTTGATATTGTTAATTTTATTTATCTATACATGTTGAGTGCTTGTTACTGTTCTTAATGCTTTCAATTAATTGGCCACTAATTGCATGATTGGAAGATCTCATTTCTCCACCAAATTGGATGTATAAGGTATGGATTTCTACCTATTTTTCATGATCTAGCTGATGGTTGGGTAGGATTGCATCAATTTTGAGCGTAGGATGTCTGATCTTCGAATTGGATTTCGGTCGGATTTCGGGATGAGATTCCGGCCACTTCCAGTTAGTTTTTGGGGTACGTCCAAGAACAAAAGTGACTCCAAATTAGGTTTATTACCTAGGATAGGAGTCTTGGGCCGAGATTTGGAGATTTTCCGACGAGGGGTAATTGATTTAGACACCCACGCGCTGCCGGCGCGTGGGCACTGTAGCTGAGGGGCATTTTTGTCCCAATGCGATCCTCTCGATGTCACGAGCGCTTAGGTGTGCTCGGATTTCAATTTGGATACCGTTAGAGTTCCGAATGGATATCGCATATTGCGTATTTTCCGGGTTCGCTAGGTTTGGACCGTTGGATGGTCCTAAAGTTATAATATGTTGATCCAGGTATTACTAGGGTCGTATAGGATTCGACGGATCGTAAAACGGAGTCCTGGATGCTCCGGAAAAGCCAACCCTAGGGTTAGGGTTTCAGTAACTGTCCGATCGTGAGATCGGGAGCAATCCGACCGTCCGATCTGGACCAAACTTGCATGACATATGTCCTAGACCTTGTAGGACATATAGGAACTTTCATATCAGAATTTGGAGTTCGTGGGGCCCCATGGGCTCGGTTGACCAAGTTTGGACAATTTGATTCTCGGTTGATCATGAGTCTTCCGAGGTAGTTTTAACCTTCGAAAAGTATTAGGATAACCTTGCAAGCGAGTTTAGGGTTTCGGCTTTGAGTACTAGTATTTAAGTGGACGTCTGACTTCCAGAGTGTTTAGTTTTCCTTTATGAAATTCTTGGATATTATTTAATAAATTGAAATTAGAAAATGGTTGAGTATGAGATACTTGATTTGTTGGGTTGTGAAAGTGAGTCTTGGGACTCGGCTAGGATTATTAGGAATTGAGTGGGCATTGCTTTCAAATGAATGGCATGGTTTTGTGATGAAAACAATATGCATATGAGTTTAATGGTTTATCGGTATTCATTTTATATTTAATTGTGGAAATTATTATATTTGTAAAGTATTTGTGATGTATATGGGTTGACTTATTTGAGTGTCTTGAGATTGGTTTATTTTGCCCAGGCCCTAATATATGAACACAGGCCATATTGCGTATTTTCCGGGTTCGCTAGGGCCCGTCGGAGTTTGTCCAGGCCCTTCGGAGATTTGGTTTATTTTGCCCAGGCCCGTCGGAATTTGTCCAGGCCCTTCGGAGATTTGGTTTATTTTGCCCAGGCCCTTAGGATGTCTTCTTGATACGATACTTTGAGAAGGAAGTGATAATGTTTCAATGTGTTGTTAGCGGATTTAGAATTGTGATAGATCGGAAATGTATAGTTGGTTCGGTTGTAAATATTTGTCTATTATCGGAATTGTGAATGTTCATACGAAAGAACTACGTGTGGCTTGATTCCTCAGTAAGGGTACGTAGGTAGCCTGAAGTTACTAGGTGCAGTCGCGGATTAGACTCCACTTAGGTGGTTGTTTTGAGTATGATGCCGACCTCGTCGTTGGTCCTGCTTTTGAGCGAGAACGAAATGCTTTCGTTTTAGGAGGTTGGAGCCTCGAATGCTAAATGTTTGGGAATGTTAAATGTTATCAATTACGGTTGGCTTTCTTAAGTGCGTGAATGTTTTATTCGGATTAAAGAATGGATTGGTAGTTTGTTTTTAAAGTATTTGAAGGCCGGAGGCCAATTAGATGAATTGCATGAAACTATTTTGTGCATGCTGCCAGTTGGTGTATTAAACTGTGTTTTATGCTGGTGGACATTGTGGGGAAATGTTCAAATTACAGGGGAGACTCTGCCGAAATTTCGGCAGAAAGTCTCGTGTCCTGGCTCCTTTTGAAACGGAGGCTACGTTTTCAAGGAGTGAACTCGGCATGGGTGTGATGTCGGGGTCTCCGCAGGATTCGTCTCAGATTTCGGAAAAATTCGGGGCGGGTCCTGTCAGCACTCGTCTCACTTCGTAATCTTTGAATAACATCTCCACCCTTTCCAAGAAGACACCTCACCATTTTGTTTGGAACTAGAAGCCTTGCGGTGACAACACTGTTCTCATTGTCATCATCAAATGTAACTCCACCAAAAAGATCTTCCTCTACAATTCTGTTATGAACTTTCAAGAGAGCATCCTGGGCAGCATAGTGCGGGTCCATGGGCTCCAGTTCATTTTCCTCAGCTGAATCTCCATCATTATTTTGTTTACTTGAAATTTTTGTTGGAGAGCTAAAGATAATAATTACTCTCTCACATCTGAGCCTAGAACAGAATCAGCAACCGTTATCTTCGCCCGCGTCTCTTCTCTCAGGGCTTTGACTATGCCACCACCTTTTCCAATAATGTAGAAAAAAAAAATACTCAAAATGCCAGGATCAACAACGCAGCTTCTCAATGCTCAAGCAGCAAAATGATCTCACATAAACTCAGAAAGAAAAGAGAGAAAAAAAAACTGAAGCAACCTCACAGATGAGTTCACACTGAATTCAGTTTTGCTACAACTCTCATTACAAAATAGAGACAACGTCTCTTTGAGAGACATAGAGACTTTTCAGCAAAAAGAGAAAAGTTGCCTAGAGACATCAACCGGCAGCATGCCTCATAGGGTAAACACAAAATTAGCTCATTGAGCCAATAAACAAAGCATATCCAGCCGACAACAAATAACACCACCGATTCTTTTAGAAGGGCAGAGTATACGATACACTGTGTCCAGGGATTGATAATTCTCCAAAGGTTGTTCACGGGTTGAATTATTCCAGTTTCCTTTCTTGTAGTTGTTGTTACCTCCTTTTCTTTTAAACTGGACATTATAGCGCGTTTCTTGAAAAAGTGCCGCTTGTTCCCATCCATAATACCACGAAAACGAAAACTAATACCAAGCAGAGTAAATTTTAAGCAAAGACCAAAGCACCTGGATTAAAAGAAACAAAACTAGAAGTTGTCATTACTGGGAGAGAGCCCAATAAAACATACTAATTTTAGCACAGAGAAAAATTGAACACATATCAATTTCTAGTTTCATAGCGAGATGTAAAGCGCAAACCACTAATCGTGCATCGTTGAAGATTGTAATTAAATGACGTACCTTGTTGAACAAAAATTCAGGGATCCTAGTAAAGCATTTCACAACGAGCAAGTAGCTAAGCAGCCGTGATCAGTTTAGTCTTCAGCTTGGAGCTCACGCCTTAGGGCTCCACAACCAAAACATATACAGCTCAAGAACAAAAACGAAAGCAAAACGATGCCTTTGGGCAAACGAAACAGGAAGACCTGGCTAAACAAGCACGTAAGAAATCAAATTCAAGCATTTTCTTCCGGAATTAAGCAAAACTAAGAATGCAACGAAGAAATCTGGAATCTTTAGCTAATTAATAATAGCAAAAAATCATTTTGATGGAGGATGATCGAAGAAATGAGACGAAAATAATACAGATCAGTAAGTAAAATTATGGCTTGTGGGGAAGTTAAAGAAAAAGTTTTACGTACCAGAGCGAGGCGCAGAGAGAGCCACTGTGGTTGCCGCTTGCTGGGGCGACTGGAGGTCTCCATCTTCGGAGAGAGACGAATTGGGCGCAACAGAGATTTGCAGAGTTCTGTTTTTATTTTTTTTTCTCTTTTTTATTTCCCGGCCTGTTTGTGGAAGGGAGGGGTGGGCTTCGACCCATTTCGAATTCATAGAGCGGGCCGAACTTAATTCTTCCCAAATTATGGAACAAGAGGACATAATTATGGGACAAAATTAGGTCTGATAATGCGTCGTTTCGTGTCAGGATTATATTATGTGTCAAGAATGCTCAACTAAAGCTTGACTCATTTAATAAGCGTGTCATGTCAAGTTGACCCGCTAATTTTCCATGCGGGTTTCAAATCGTGTATCGAGTTATTTGCTAAGTGGTAACATAGCGAAGTAAAAATGTAGCAGTAAAAAAAAACGTAGAGAAAGATATGACTATTCAAAGAATAATCACAATAATGGGAGAATTTATTATGATGCGCAAAGAAAAATTTGTAAATTACAAAAAATAATTTTGCATGTGATTGTCTTATTTGGTAATTAGCATGTAATTGTTATAAAAATAAATATCAAATTATATACATATGGAATTCTATTTCTTTGAAAAACAGTTTGTAAAGACATTATAAATATCAAATGTTGTAGCATATAATCACAAAGTTATCAACAACATGGTGAATAAGGCTCTAGAAGAGGAGGAAGTGGCAGGGGTTTCAATCTCCTTATTGTACATAGATGATTGGAGCACTGGCGAGTAGAATGATTGGAGTCACAACCCATGATATTTCGTCCAACATAATAAAGGGTAGAAACAAATGCGATCATCATTGTAGCTATATAGAAAAAGAGGGTAAAAAGGCCTATAATCTTTTGGTTGTTCTCCACCATTCCAATCCTCTCAATGTTGACCCTTGGTTGTTCTTCAAATGGTTCCTGCTTTCCTTTAGGTGTATCGATGCGTTCGAATATGGGGGAGTTGTGGCTTCTCGGTTTGAGGTTGTCCTTCACTTTGTCCCTTTCTCTCTCCTCTCGATCTGGCTTCATATTTTGGTTATAGCAGATAACCGAAAAGCAATTTCTTGCAAATATCTTGGAAGATGTGTATTGCCATGACACTGCTACGGCTCCGGTGCTTGCACCACCTTCTTCTTGTTTCATGGTTCTGTTTGCTTTACCTTGAGGTTGTTGGTTTATGGTGGCAGTTTGGTGGTGGTTATGCTTTTATGTTGTTTTTAATTTGGTTAGTTTTTGTCAGTTTTAGTTTTGTTTATCTACTAATATCATTATCTGGAGCAATTTTGTTGCCCTTGTTTATCTGATATTGCGGATTAGTTAGTTCATTTGAGCTTCCTTGCTGAATTGTTTGTATTTGTACCATACCATCAATTGCTTTTTTGGGTGCATGAGAGAGAGAGAGAGAGAGAGAGAGAGAGAGAGAGAGAGAGAGAGGGAGATGGGTCGCTACATTTTTGGTTGTTTTAGTTTTTTTTATTGCTTTTTAATACTTCAAAAGCTTTTTCAAGTACATGTTCAGGCAAATGCAAAACCCACATATTAATATTACAAGGCTGAACCAGAATTTTATAACAATTAGATGGAGACGTTTCAGTTTTATAATGGCCAGAAATCATATAACTTTATTCCAAAATGGAAGGAAAGTTGGAATTCTCTCTGTAATATTTAAAATATAAAACAAATCTTATCACTGGACCCAACATACTAGTATAGATTCATGCAACCCTAGTTAGACTTTTTTTATATTATCAAAATTTGTCTAAGGAAGTAGCTTAGAGAACCCATTACAGATGCTCTTAGGATACCGACAGTCTACTAAAGTCTTTATATTCAAAGTAATCAAACAGTTCAATACACATCTAATTAATTTTATTAATTAGTTATAATGGTCCTTTCTGTTTTCGAAGTTCTTCATTCAATCTGCCCTCCATTTTCCTTGTTAATAAGAATTGACTGACGCAATATGCATCTTGGCTCCACCATTTCAGTACTCAGTTTACAAGATTGTGTTTGTGCGAGGCTCTCATTATGAATCTGTGCATGCATGTCATGTGATGTGTGAGTTTAGATTAGTGAGGGTAATATAGGAAGAAGTGATTGTTGTAGAGAAAGCATTTTAATTTTACTAAAATTGTATGTGGGTGTAAAGAGTGTGTTAGGTCAAAACATAGGATTGTTGGGTTCGATTAATTAGGCAGAATTAATAACGATAAAAGGGGCACGAAATAATAGTAGAACTTGAAACGAAGGAAATAATAGTACATCATTTATTTCTTTGCACAAGTCCTTAAAACTTTCTTAAAATTGATACAAACAAATATCAGCAAAAATGACATAAAAATCCAAATGTGAATAATACAAGTTCTTCCCTTATGAATCAGACAGATCGATTCATGCCAAAAAAGGTTCTGATACTTCGACAACTTTGCCTTTTTGGGAAAATATTCCTGCTCCATAAGTAGAAATGAAGATCTCAACAAGAAGGGGAAATTGCATCCATGCAAAGGAGACGATTGGAGCACTAGAAAGTAAAGTGATTGGAATCACGATCCATGACTTTTCACCCAACATAATACAAAGGGTAGAAACAAACGCAATCATCATGGTGGCTATGGAGAAAAAGAGGGTGAAAAGGCCTATAATCATTTTCTTTGGCAATGATTCAAGGAAATCAGCTTCGGCATAGCGTGAGGTGAGGACTCCCAAAAATGTCATTACAGAAGTCGTGGAAGCAAAGAGTGATAAGGCATCAGAAACTATAAACACCTTAAACAACTTTTTTTCTAAGAACATGGGCATGCCTGTATTTCCGTTGTTTCCACCTGGAACTGTGAATGCTGCAGTAAACATGATGGTAATGATAAGAGCACCTACAACCGTACAAGAAGTTGCTGTCTCTTTCATTGATCTTTCTCCTTCTTTCGCCAACTCTTTGTGGTTCTTAGTAAATAAATCACGTGCTGTCATGCCATCTGTAACATTTACGACCTCAAGAATCTTGGGAGGTACAATTTTTTCAATCTCCTGCATTTCGTTGAAGCAATTACTGATTTTCTAATCCTCGAATATATGCTTTTCGACCAAAAAAAAGGAAAAGAATATTTTCTAATCCTCGAAATGTGTAGAGAAATTCTGACCTTGAACCATTGTAATTCTCTCTGCATTTGCAACGCGGCACCTTGGATACGATTAAGCTGTTCAATTGGGGATAAACCGGCTGCTGCATGTAGCAACGTATTGCTAAACTGATCTATTCTCACTAACAAATTAGGCGCTATTCCGGTAAATTTATAGAAAAATAAATAGGCTTTTTCTTGACGACATTCAATGGCAAACTGAAGCATGGTCTTCCCATTTTCACTAGTGAGCAGCCCACCCACTGCTGGATTTGATCGAAATATCTCATGAACAAACTCAACATGCCCTTGTTTAATGGCTTCGAAGATGGCTGCTTGCACGACACTTCCTTGCAATTGTTTACCACTTTTACCCTTTATCGCTTCGCACATGGAACGTAGAATTTCAGAAATTCTTTCGTGGGTCCATTTCATCTTATATATGTGATTAATTCCTATGGCATAAATAAAACAATATTAATTACCAAGTCTCAAAAGAATATGACCAAAA